CTGTGTTTAGAAGACTGTACAAATGAATGGTGGTGGAACAGAAGAAGGAATAAACGAGGTTTAGGGCGTGGCATTACAGGGAAGAGGTGAGAGGAGGTAAAACATGCTTCCCAGCAGAGGTGAATTCTGGGTTGAATTTTACATGATGAACATTCGTTTGCTGGGTAGACAGGGTGAGAAAGCATATTGTGAGCAAGCAAATACATGAAATGGCGCATTTTGGAACTTGTAAGTGCCTGCTACAGTTAGGATTTAAAATGCCAAATGAGGAAAGCAGTGAGAAATGTGGCTTAATGCAAGGTAAGATGAGAGTCTGACTTGGTCCGATGGCATTAGGGACAGAAGAGAGCAGGGCAGAATCAAGAAAAAATTACGTGGTAGGTGCGACAGGTGTGTGTGATTTCTTGGATGCAGAAGCTGAGAAGAAAGGAGCAATTGTGCATCTGAGGGAGATGGATGGGTGGTGGTGCTAGTAATAGAGACAAGATAGGAGACAGGAGGATGCCAAGTAGTCTGTTCCTGTGGGTTGGAGCAACTTAGGAAGTTTGCTCTGGTGGAATATTTGCTTTTGTAGAATATTGTTAACTAGAATATTCCAAATGGAGATTATTCAGAGCTAGGTATGCGATTCTGGGCTGAGATGTCAGCTTTTTTGATTTGTCATTGTACTTTCTGTGTTGAAATAATCTTGCATGATCTGGTCTTAAAAACTCAGCACTGTAAAAGGATGGCAGGTTATCCCTGGGAGCAGTGTATTATCTTTCAGGCAAGTGGGAACACAGTACCACTAAGAAAAGAAATTGAAAAAAAAAGTAAAGGAGGATCATAGAGGGAATCAGTGGGAAAATTGATAAATAGAAAAAAAATGGAGAATATGAGTAAGTAGGTTATGATTCAGAGAGTGGTATAGAGGGACATGTGGATATTTTGGTGGGAAACATCAGGGGTGATAGTTGATATATATTTTTTCTTCACGTTGTTTAGGGATAACTCCTTTAATACCTCCTTTAAAGGTTGAAGGGCACTGTAGATTCTCTTCCTGTAACCAAAAGTAGCTTAGGATTTGACTCGTCAGCTCTACTAACTCAGGAATTCCCACCTGAGATATTGAATGTGTAAAGTCATGGATAGATGTAGAGACAATCTAATGGGTTCATCTGGTGATAAAAGTTGATATTTGGGGGGCAGTGAGTGTCCAGTGGAGGTGGCACCCATGGCAGTGGGGGCTCCTGCATAAGTACTATCTTATCTAGAATATTCCAGTGACACAACCTTGGCTGAGTCCTCTGCCACCAGTCTTCTTTCATTCCTGACCATTTTTTTCATCACTTCTGTAAAATACCAGTTGCCTTTCTATAAATTCCTTTGCTGCCTAAATTAACTGGAGTGAGATAATTACCTGATCATAACAGGTAATATGTAGAGGAAAACCCTGTATTTCATGTAAAAATCTTGGTACTGCTGAATTTCAAGATGATTTTTACTGTCAATAGCATATTTTAAAAACTAAACATTATAATAAAAGAAATTTTAAAACATATCTGTGGCTCAAAAAACTTAGTATCCTTTCAAACCAAAACCAAAATCCCTAAAAAATTAAGATGAGAATGAGATTCACAACAGTATGATGAAACGTGGTCTAAAGAGTAACCTTAGGTTCTGTTGAGTAATTTTCCTTTCAGAGTCTAGCCCCCTGTGCTCACCAGAGAGGGCCATGGTGGAAACATGATTCCAGACCCCTGTGCCCTTGGGATTAATCACCAATTTTTGTGTTCCAGAAAGATGGAGAAAATAAAAGCAACCACTGATTTCCACCAGTCCACATGGTGGTATCTGTGTCTTTAACCTGCAAATCCTATATATGTGGAAATTTTACTTTTCCTCTTCCCAGGTGGTAAAAATGAGCCCAAACCAATGTTTAAAACATTCAACTCGTACACTAAACCCCTCCTGCCAAGTAGTCTTGGAAATCTCAGTGCCATTTTTATCTGTCCATCAGCTGGAAAAGTGAATGGAAAAATCATAATTTTTTTAAAGGAAAAAGGAAAGGAAAGTACAATCATCTTGGCAGAAATATACTATTTTAAATCTATCAATTCTCTATTCCAGTATGATAATCAAGACCACATATTTGCTTTCCATCCAAGAGGGGAGTAATTATTTCTATCTCTTAGAAGTCAACATTCAAATACTTTATTGGACAAAGTTCAGGACTTGTGTGTCCCACATATGGTCTATCTATATTAGCACATACGTCTCCAGGAGAAGCTTGGCTCACCAAGCAAAGAGCTATTTGCCTACTGGGCCTTCTTTGTGTGCAGGGTACATTTCTTAGAGGGTCTCTAAGCTTCTTTGGTTATATTTCTGCTGGATTCCATTCTCTATTCCACACAGTCTTGTCTTGAATATAATTATATGTATTATATAATCTAGTCTATCTTCGGTGAATTCTAACATGATCTTAGAGTAAGCAGAAGTAAGTACATAAAAACATTAGGTCAAAGTATATAGTTCATGAGATGGAAAGAAAAGGGCTACACTTTCTAACTTAAGACACATAACCATGACAACCTTCAGCCTTCGTGAAACTAAAGGCCAAAGGAGGATTTAGTAGTTGGTTTGTTTTGTAGAGACAGAGTCTCACTTTATTGCCCTTGGTAGAGTGCTGTGGTGTCACAGCTCACAGCAACCTCCAACTCCTGGGCTTTATTGATTGTCTTGCCTCAGCCTCCCCAGTAGCTGGGACTACAGGTGCTCGCCACAATGACCGGCTATTTTTTGTAGCAATTTGGCTGGGGCCGGGTTTGAACCCGCCACCCTTGGTATATGGGGCCGGCACACTACTCACTGAGCCATAGGCGCCACCCCGAGGATTTAGTAGTAAATCAAGAATAGAGAGCTTACATTCATTAGGGCCATGAAGCACACACATACTTCCCATCACCCTCCTTGAGTATCCTGGTGTAACCCATGTGTGTGTAACCCAACACTCAACTATGATAGACCAGTCTTAACCAGGTGAGCATACTGCAAAGTGTGCTTGGAGTTAATCACACTGTAGCTTAACTTCACACCTGGAAGGTTTCACATTCCATGACTGCTTTGAACTAAAACTAGCCCAAACTTCCCCCTAGTTAAGCTATGTCCAGACTTCAATTAAAACAATTATTTTATCACTTCTTGGCCTTTTGGGTAAGATCCCGTGAAAACATTTCTCTACTAGGCCCTGTAGAGAAAGTATCTCAAAAGAAAGATGAAAGAATAATTTCAAGTACAAAGGAGCAAGGTTGACTAGTTGTATTTTTTTAATTGACTTCCAATTAATTAGTTTCATTATAAACCTGAAAAAGAATAATTGATCTAGCTATTGAAATAACACTAGTGCTTGCTCTTATAATAATTGCATTCTCACTTTTATAGCTAAGTATCTGTATGGAAAAACCTAGCCCTCATGAATGTGGCTTTGACCCTTTAGGCTCTGCTTATCATTTTCCATAAAATTTGTCTTCATTTCTATTACATTGCTTTTATTTTTCATTCTCAGACATCTTTATTTGTTGCTATATTTAATGTGCCTTTTGTTAACTATGTTACATGTTGTTCCCAGTGTAACTTTAAACCTAGCCCTTGCCAAAATAAGTTCAATCCCAAGACAAATACAATAAATCATAATGATTATTTCTATTTACAATTTATTTCATAGATATGAAATGTAAGAAGAGTAGAGAATGGAGGCACATATAGTAAAAAATATGATAGAATCTCTCAGGCTAGGGCAGGCACGATGCAGCCGGTCTGGCCAGTCGGTCAATTTAGGTTCTGTCTGAACTTCACCCCTTGTTTCCTATTCTTTATTTTATTTTTTATTCATTTTTAATTAAAATCGTAACTGTGTACATCTAGGAGGTACAATGTAATGATTTGATATACAATGTTGAATGCTTAAATCAAACTGATTAACATCATCATCATCACCTCACTTATTTTTTTGTGGTAAGACATTTAAAATTTACTCTCAGTTATTTTGAAATATATCCTTGCATTGTATAAGCAACTTAAAACTAATACTTATAGCATTAGTATTAATCTTTATTCTAGCCCTAGGTCTTGCCTATGAGTGAATTCAAAAAGGATTAGAATGAGTAGAATGTGGTAATTAGTTTA